GGACCAATCTAAAAGTGCGCCATACATTTTTTGTTCGAGACTTTTTGCTCAATTGTATGGTGGTATTCCGGAGCGATGATCTCGAAAATTTAATTTTTTGAAAATTTTTCCCAAACGTTTTTTAGCGTAGCTCAGCATCCGCTGGACCAATCAAAAAGTGCGCCATACATTTTTTGTTCGAGACTTTTTGCTCAATTTTATGGTGGTATTCCGGAGCGATGATCTCGAAAATTTAATTTTTCAAAAATTTTTCCAAAATATTAATAAGTGTAGCTCAGCATCCGCTGGACCAATCTAAAAGTGCGCCATACATTTTTTGTTCGAAACTTTTTCCCTATTTTATTGGCGGTATTCCGGAACGATTATCTCGCAAATTTAATTTTTCTAAATTTTTTTCAAATTTGTTTTCTAGTGTAGCTCAGCATCCGCTGGACCAATCTAAAAGTGCGCCATACATTTTTTGTTCGAAACTTTTTCCCTATTTTATTGGCGGAATTCCGGAACGATTATCTCGCAATTTTAATTTTTCTAAATTTTTTTCAAATTTGTTTTCTAGTGTAGCTCAGCATCCGCTGGACCAATCTAAAAGTGCGCCATACATTTTTTGTTCAGAACTTTCTTCTAATCACTATGGCGGTATTCCGAAGCGATTATCTCGAAAATTTAATTTTTTGAAAATTTTTCCCAAATTTTTTTAGTGTAGCTCAGCATCCGCTGGACCAATCAAAAAGTGCGCCATACATTTTTTGTTCGAGACTTTTTGCTCAATTTTATGGTGGTATTCCGGAGCGATGATCTCGAAAATTTAATTTTTCAAAAATTTTTCCAAAATATTTTTAAGTGTAGCTCAGCATCCGCTGGACCAATCTAAAAGTGCGCCATACATTTTTTGTTCGAAACTTTTTCCCTATTTTATTGGCGGAATTCCGGAACGATTATCTCGCAATTTTAATTTTTCTAAATTTTTCCAAATTTGTTTTCTAGTGTAGCTCAGCATCCGCTGGACCAATCTAAAAGTGCGCCATACATTTTTTGTTCAGAACTTTCTTCTAATCACTATGGCGGTATTCCGGAGCGATTATCTCGAAAATTTAATTTTTTGAAAATTTTTCCCAAATTTTTTTAGTGTAGCTCAGCATCCGCTGGACCAATCAAAAAGTGCGCCATACATTTTTTGTTCGAGACTTTTTGCTCAATTGTATGGTGGTATTCCGGAGCGATGATCTCGAAAATTTAATTTTTCAAAAATTTTTCCAAAATATTTTTAAGTGTAGCTCAGCATCCGCTGGACCAATCTAAAAGTGCGCCATACATTTTTTGTTCGAAACTTTTTCCCTATTTTATTGGCGGTATTCCGGAACGATTATCTCGCAAATTTAATTTTTCTAAATTTTTTTCAAATTTGTTTTCTAGGGTAGCTCAGCATCCGCTGGACCAATCTAAAAGTGCGCCATACATTTTTTGTTCGCTACTTTTTGCTAAAGACTTTGGCGGAATTCCGGAGCAATTATCTCGAAAATTTAATTTTTTGAAAATTTTTCCCAAACGTTTTTTAGTGTAGCTCAGCATCCGCTGGACCAATCTAAAAGTGCGCCATACATTTTTTGTTCAGAACTTTCTTCTAATCACTATGGCGGTATTCCGGAGCGATTATCTCGAAAATTTAATTTTTTGAAAATTTTTCCCAAATGTTTTTAGTGTAGCTCAGCATCCGCTGGACCATTCAAAAAGTGCGCCATACATTTTTTGTTCGAGACTTTTTGCTCAATTGTATGGTGGTATTCCGGAGCGATGATCTCGAAAATTTAATTTTTTGAAAATTTTTCCCAAACGTTTTTTAGTGTAGCTCAGCATCCGCTGGACCAATCAAAAAGTGCGCCATACATTTTTTGTTCGAGACTTTTTGCTCAATTTTATGGTGGTATTCCGGAGCGATGATCTCGAAAATTTAATTTTTCAAAAATTTTTCCAAAATATTTTTAAGTGTAGCTCAGCATCCGCTGGACCAATCTAAAAGTGCGCCATACATTTTTTGTTCGAAACTTTTTCCCTATTTTATTGGCGGTATTCCGGAACGATTATCTCGCAAATTTAATTTTTCTAAATTTTTTTCAAATTTGTTTTCTAGTGTAGCTCAGCATCCGCTGGACCAATCTAAAAGTGCGCCATACATTTTTTGTTCGAAACTTTTTCCCTATTTTATTGGCGGTATTCCGGAACGATTATCTCGCAAATTTAATTTTTCTAAATTTTTTTCAAATTTGTTTTCTAGTGTAGCTCAGCATCCGCTGGACCAATCTTAAAGTGTGCCATACATTTTTTGTTCGAAACTTTTTCCCTATTTTATTGGCGGTATTCCGGAACGATTATCTCGCAAATTTAATTTTTCTAAATTTTTTTCAAATTTGTTTTCTAGTGTAGCTCAGCATCCGCTGGACCAATCAAAACGTGCGCCATACATTTTTTGTTCAGAACATTTTGACTATTTTTTTGGTGGTATTCCCGAGCGATTGTAACGCAAATTTAAATTTTCGAAATTTTTTCTGAATTTGTTTTCTAGTGTTCTAGTTTAATTAAGACAAACAATTTATTGATTGAAAAAAATATTAGAGAGAGGACAGAAAGAATATTATATATATAAGATTCTCATCCCTTGTACCACCAAAAATCTCTCAAGTTAATCTGACGATTCATCGAAATGATGAAAATCCAGCAATGTGAATTTCGTTTCTCTCGAATCAAAAATTTTCAACTCACGGGGAATAAATATAGAGGCGAAGGGGAAAAATCTTGCCACCCTATATATATATATAGAAAAGTCCAATCCACTCTCAAGTAATATCCATTCGCCAAAAGTCGGGAGGCAATCTCATCTGTCAAGTTGGTGACGAAAAGGGAAGATTTTTTTTTCCTATATACCCAGACAGACGTGTCGATGTCATTGCGGTGAAGTTGAGACCTACTTTCAACGATTATTTCACTCTAGGTTTTCAAAACTTGCCGCGAGGGGTGCGATGACTTTCCCTTTAGTTATATGGATTTCATATTATTTTCTCTCTCTCTCTCTTTCACTAAAAGGGGAAAAATAAAACGTTCAAAGCCACTTTTAGGGAAAGTTAGTATACTTTTTCGACAACGTATGAGTATTAAAGATTTGATAATTATGTTAGAAAATTAAATAATTCTTCTATTTTGTTCCTTCTGCAAAAGACAATCAAAGGACAAAAAGTAGGTTTTGAAGTAAAAATTTGAAGTAATTCCTTTGTTACACGCGCGAGGTGAATGAGAGTGGTCTTGTTAAAGTTCAACGTCGTTTTAAGGGTTAACTTACCTTGACGCAACTAAAGATCAAAGAAAAACTGGACGTCAAGGATCACGTGTTCGAGCCATGTACGTCGCTTTCGACGTCTTGTGCAATTATGGCCTTTTCAAAAAAAAAAAAAAAAAAATTGCCCGGGCACGTACTTGTATAAAAGGTTTAAGGTATACCGAAGCCCTTTTATTTTCTCATTTTTTTCCTTGTTTTCTTCTTTTTTATACCGTTGCTCGTCGTCATTGGGATAAGACATCTCTCACATATATATATAGATAGATAGTCTGTATATACACAAAACGAACTGGTGAGTCGTGCGAGAGAATCGACGCAGTCTTTTGAACCAAAGTTAACTCCACCCCGATCTTTGTACGTGCCCTCTGTATGTTTTCCAAACCCTCAGACTTTGTTCTCTTTCCACCTAGAGAAAGAGTGAGAGAGAGAGAGACCCATCTTTATACAAGAAATCGTTTGTGCATCTCTTGAATTTACCAAATTTGAATTCTCAAGAGAAAAGGAATTTTTATTCTCTTCTTCGCATTTCTTTTTTTTTCTGTATTTGTCAGGAGTCTTCTGTTTTTTTTTATATTGAACCCTTTTTTTTACAAATATTCTTCGTGTTTTACAAACTCGAAATGTTTTTATTTAGAAATTTTCTTAATTTCTTTTTTGAATTAAGTTCCTTTATTGTGGATGAAAAAAATTGAAACTCTTGTTTTCTTGCCAGAGGGAGATCGAAACCTTTTCTGTGAATGAAAAGAAGTGACGACGAGCTTACGTTTTCAATATTGTTGGCAAGTCGCCTTTGGCGCGCGCAGAACCTTTTCATTCAATATACGCGACCAGCTAAGAAACCTTTTTTTTTTCCAAAAAAAAAAAAAATTGATAAAGCTCTGGGTAAATCTGTCAAAGCTTGCACGCGACTCAATAATCTTTCCTTTAGTTTTTCATTTTTTTTACAATGTTTAAGATAATTTTCCGTTTTTTCTGTATTTAATAATCTAAAATTGTTTCTTTTTTTAAATATTTCTTCTTTTTTCTACATTTAATTTTTAGAAATATTTTTAATGAAAAAAAAAGTGATATGAAATCAGAGAATAATCTTGTAAGGGATTTATTATAGAAATAATTGAATATCTGAATAAACAAATTTCTTTTTTCACCCTTTGTAAGGAATGAGGTAATTCTGATGAAAATCTGTTGTACAGGAAAGTAGTCACCTCGATATGTCAGGCAATCCAATATACTAAAGGAAACGTTTGTATTTCTATATATATATATAGTGTCGTCCAACGACTATATATATCTCTCTCACACATTCTTCCTGTCACGCAAGTTTACCATTAAAATACGATCAGATAATCTTATTTGCCTCACTAGGGTTAAGTAATTCTTCTTTTAAGGAACCATGATTTTTGGTCCAATTATTTTTTTTCGCTTACTATTTTTTTTATAATAATATTAATTACCATATAAATTATATATTATAACAATTTTTATATTGTTACTATTATTTTGTAAATAATATTATTGTAAATTAGTTATTTTTGAGAACGCAATTTACAGCAAAAAAAAAACAATTATTGTTTTCAATTGATAATAAAATCAAAAATTAAAAATAATTTTCAAATTTGAATGTTTTTTCGCGATGATTATTTTATATGGAGAGGAAAAAAAATGTTCCTACCTGTTTGTCGTGAATTGAAGGCCTCGGTACTTCCTGCGATGATTAGAAGAAGCAACGGCCTTAACAAGTCTCTCCCGGAAGGCAGCATCTTCCCAAAAGCTCCTAGTACGCCTGCGCGACAACCTTTTTAGCCGACACCCCTCATCACACAGCCTTCCTGAAAAATGCAAAGACAAAAAGGACCACGATTAACGATCGTCTTGTGCTGCATTTTCTCATTTTTTTTTCTCTTCCGCTTCCGCGCTTTCTTTCTTTTTTTTTTCATCTCTCACTGATGGTAATTATTACATCGGCGTAAGCCAAATACTAACATTATAAAAAAATATTTATTTTTTTCTGCGGAAGAACCAAAAGATTTCGTTATATATAAGATTGTATATATCAACAGGTATCTTTAAGATCAATGAAATGATTCTCAATTTCTGGCAAAGGAAAACTAGTTTATATATATATATATAGAGAGACATTGAAAAATTACCAAACTTGGAGCGTCTAACGGAAGTACTTTTTTTGATGCTCTATTGTTGAAACCTCATAGGCGCCATTCCCGGTTCTCGTTTAGGTTTATTTATTTTTTTATTTGGTAAATGTGGTCACGTATAGAACACGATACGAAGGACCAACTGTGATAAGAATGTCAACGATAAAAAAAAGTAGGAAAAGGAGAAATTTTTTTTGTTAAAAAGAGAAAGAGAGAGAGAGAGAGAAGATGCTGTGGGCCAAAAGGCTCAGCGCGTCGGATTTCCATTATGCTAAACCGCAAATGGAGTCCTGCGATCGAGTGTCTCTCTTGCCTCCGAGTTGCACGAGATGGCCCTAGAGGTTCTTCGGATAACGTTACCTAGAAATGAAATTTCCTTTCTCGAGATAGAAACTCCCTTTTAACGCCAACTACAACTATGTGACAACGTCAAATGTACTATCAATCTATGTAAAAATGTTGCTTTCTAAACTTCAACTTTTTTTTGCCAATCTAAAAATAATAAAAGTTTAAAATTCTAAAAAAAAACTCTTAAAATGTTTTTTATTTTTGCCATTGAAAGGCTTTTTATTTCAAAAATTATTTTTAAAAAAATATTTATTGGTACTTAAAAGTACTTTTGAATTATTTTAAGTATCTAAGGTAACTCGTGTAGAAATTGACCTATCAGGGCCCTAGTAGGGAATGAAACGCCACACCTGATTAGGGCCACATCAGGCGCGGCGTTTCATTCCCTACTAGAGCAGCCTGATTTGGCCCCGTTCTGGAAATGTGAAATATGAATTATCTTCAAGTACTTTTAATTATCTAAAGTATTATGAATTATCTAGTAACTAAATTATTTTGATTTATCTGAAGCATTGTGAATTATTTGAAGTAATTATCTAAAGGCTTAAAAATGCTTTTATTTTGAAAAAAAGCTAACAATGTTATAAATTGTTAATTTTTCTTTAATTACTCAAAATAGCTACTCGACTATCTGTTACACTATATATATCTCTCTCTGAGACAGTTTATAATACGAAGGCACACCGGCTGGTGCCTCTTGACGGAATAAAATTCATAAAAAATGCAAGACATTTTAACTGCAGGTTTCTTGTCCCATAAAGATTTCAGAGAAACTAGGTTATTTTTAACTTTCTTTTCTTATTGTATTAAAAAATTAAATAAAAAAAAAAAAATAGCGCTAAAAATTCTGGTTACATATTTCTCTTAATTTAATGAAAAATATTTTACTTGATTTTATTATAGAGAAATTTATTCAATAAATAAAAATAGATTTTGTTTTTTGTAGATTTAATTAAAGTTTTTGGAGCAATATTTTTTTTTCGTGAATATAGTCAATGAAGGTTGATAACATAACCATATAATAAGTTCAGTGATTTGTCTAACAAATGGGAGTGAGAAAAAAAAGGTGTGTGGACGAGTAGAATGTCGTGACAATTTAATCTGGCATTGTGCCAAACGGTCGAGGTCAGTAGATTCGGCTAATCTAAGTTGCTTAGCATCATTTTCAGTACCACTCTCTTCCAGCTCATTTCACAAACTTCATCTTAACTTTCATTTTGTCGCTTATAAAACGCGTAATATCTTATGTTCTATTATAAAAAAAAATAAATAAATTTTTATTTCTATAAATCTTTAATAACTTCATTTTATATTTATTTTACTAAATATTGTTATTTAATAATATTTCCTTAATATAAAATATATTTTTTAAACAAAACCTTGTTTATTGGGCAAAAAAATAAATCAAAAGATATATTTTCTTCTCTCAAGTGGAACAAGTTTTATATATATATATAACAGAAAAATAATTTCCGGAAGTGGAATGTGGCATGATACAAGTCCAGATCGAAGACAATGAGAAAGAAGGAAACTTTCATGCTGAAGTTATCTCCTGTATACTTCACCCTCGAGGTTCAGTTACGATGATTGTCCCCTGGTGTCAGGATTGTCCATTAAAGTTTCAACCAAGTTTCTCCCGCGGTGTATATACTCGCTGCTAACTTCACGCAGTGTTCTTTTTTTCTTTCCTTCTTTTCATTTTTTTTTTTTTCTTTTTTTTTCTTTTCCCATCCAGCCAAGAGGATTTTTATTTGCCCTTGTTCTTTTCATTTCCCCTGCAGGCGACCGCGACAACGGGAATCGAGTAAATTTCATACTTTTGCATTTTATGCTTTTCTTTCTCTCTCACTCTCGTGCACTCGTAAGATGGTGTTCTTTTTGCAAAAAGTAAAAGAATCGCAAAAATTTTGGTTTATTCGTACTTCAATAATAGAAAATATTTTTCATTCACTGAAAATAATAACATTTAATAGAATTTCTATTCAAACAAATTTTTACTTAGCAGAATTCTTATGCGTCGAAATTTTATTGTACAGAATTCTTAAAACAATGAATTTTTATTTGTCCGAAATTACAAATGACCGAATAATAAATCGGTAGTAAGATTTTGGCGCGATTTTTAAAATCCACCAATCAGAAATTGTCCAGAAAAAAACGCGCCGAAATCTTTCTGCCGATTTATTGTTCGGTCATTTGTAATTTCGGACAAATAAATATTCGGCGTTTTAATAATTCTGTGCAATAAAAATTTCATAAAAATTCTGATAAGTAAAATTTGTTTTTATTTTCTTAAATATAAGATAATTAAAAAAAATTGATACTTCCAGAAAAGATATAAAGATATTTTTAAACGAAAAGGCATTTTTTAAACTCTAGTTTAGTGAGAAGACAACTCATCCAATTTCGCAGTGATAAAAATTTGTGGCAAATTGTTTTTTGCCCGCTCGCTTTAAATTAGTTGACGTCAAGTGTCATTTTTCTCTTTATTTTTTTTTCTCGGCTGTATTCCCCGCAGCACGCAAGAGTGATTTTGAAACGCGAGCATTATAACTTATCTCTTTAACTCTTGTCTGAATATTCTCTGCTGCCATTATCTCCTTTGGATGCTGGGTGGTGTGTTTGACCCACGGGTATCTTCGTCGCGATCCAAAAACCAATGAAGACACACCATTTCACCAACACCAAAAAGCATCGAGTCTTTGGACGCGCCACAGCCGCCGGCAACTTTTCAACTATCCACAATAAATCTTGGGACTTCCTCGCGTATATCCTTTAACTCTTTCTCTTTCTATCTCTCTGTCGAGAGAATTTTATCCCCTTTTGCGCGAAATTTTTATCTTTTTCTTTTTCTCTCGCAGTCTTCTTTTCTGCGAATTTCTTTTCTCTCTTGTAGATACTGTCTTTCGAAGTGTTCAATATTCATTTATCATTTTTTTTCCATTAATTTCTTCTTTTTTTCATTCATTTGTTATGAATCTGTGTTCCCTTTTTTTTTCTTTTGTAAATAAAGAATATCTTTTGTTTCTCTTGTGTGTGTGTGAGAGAAAGAGAGATGGTATTGGTCAATACAGATGCTGGGTCCATACTCTTTCTTTTGGTCTTCCGCGCCTTCCTGTCCATCCTTCATTCTGCACGATATCCTTCTTGCTCGGTACATCCTTTTGCTTTACTACGGCTGCTACCACAAGCAAGTTTCTCGTGTCCCCTTCTTGCCTCTTATACGCTTCTAGAAGCAGGATATATGGCTTGTACAACTAGGCTGCCCAACCCACCTCAAAGTATACCTCATTCAAAGGAGTATTTGTGAAAGCTGATTTTCAAGACAACATCGCAATTTTAGACTAGAGCTCTCTAAAACTAACCAAATTCTAACGTATTTAAAAGATTTTCAACTAATATCAGAGGAAAATTGTGATAGATGGTTAAAAAATTAACAAGATGGTATAAAAATGTTGAAAAATAAAAATAACAAAATTACCGACCTAGAAATCTACCTTACCGACTGATGGTAAATAAATTTTTTCGGTAAATGCTAATGTAAAAATTACCGACAGAAATCTACTTTACTGACTGACGGTAATACAGTTTTTTTTGGAAAATGGTAATATAAATAATTACCGACATAGAAATCTACCTTGCCGACTGACGGTAAAACAGTTCTTTAAAAATAAAAATATAAAAAATTACCGACGCAGAAATCTACCTTACCGACTGATGGTAAAACAGCTTTGGAAATTTGATGAAATTCCAAAAAAAATTCTTTACCATCAGTCGGTAAGGTAGATTTCTGTATCGGTAATTTTTATATGGTCATTTTCCAAAAAAATCTGTTTTACCATCAGTCGGTAATGTAGATTTCTATATCGGTAATTTTTTTATATTGTCATTTTCCCGCAAATCTGTTTTACCATCAGTCGGTAAGGTAGATTTCTGTGTTGGTTATTTTTTATATGGTCAGTGGATTTCACTGTATTAAAATACAACGCTATTATTTTAGAACCAAATTAAAATCAAATAAGCTTAAAAAAAATTGATTAAAACAAGATTTTATTTTTAATTTTTCTAATTTGATAATGTGATTAAAAATCCAAAACTTTTGGAATAAACATTAAAAATGGAACAAAATTTTTAATCAAGAAAAAAAATGCCTGTTCAAAAGCAAAGGGATTATGTAAAAAGCATATACAGGTTACGAAAAAATCATGACAGAATTAAAAATGCATAATGCGTTATAGTCAACATTGAGTTTTTTTTTTTTTATTTTTTTTTTTTAATAAATTTCTCTTTCAGCTTTTGAAACTAAAGCGTCTTTAATCCTTGCAAAAAAAAAGCCTGGTCGTTAAAAGCAAAAATTTACACAAGAAGCTTATCGGCTCATGTTCTGCACAAAAAAAAAATGAAATGGAAAAAATAAACACAATTTTTAACCTCAATGATGGAATATAATAAGCTTAAAATTAAAAAAAAAAATTTTAATAGCCATTGAAAAAGTTTAAATAATTTTCTGATTAATGAACTTTGGTGAAACACAGGGATTTACTGAAACAATAAAGATTATCTGTTTTTTTAATAGTACGAGAAATTTCAATTTCTAAAGATACCTATATATATATATATATATATATATATATATATATAAAATCCAATAATTATTGCGACTTTCATTATTTCGTATCTAAATTTAATTCTGAGAGAGCGTTAAAAATTTATTTATTTGAATTAATAAATGAAATTTAAAAAATTTACAAAATTTATAAAAGAATTTATAAAATAAAATTTCAAAAAAACTCAGGATATTTCAAAATGCTTTAGATTAAAAATACTTTAAGATAATTTCGGATATTAGATAAATTAAAGTACTTTGAGATAATTTCAGATAATTTCAGTGTCACTATACTTAAGCTCAGTTTCTTTCTGTAATAAAAAATATATTGACAGAATCTCGAGAAGTGAGTGCGAAAATAATAAAGAAGAGAACGATTAAAAAATGTAAATTCTCAAATTTTGTTTCAAGTGTCAGAAAAACAATTTCTAAAGAGTCGTGGTGATTTTAATCCACTTGAATGAATATATAGTCGAAAGAGAGAATATTTCTCAAGTTTAATAAAGTAGTTTCCATAGTGGATAAATATATATATATATATATATATATATATATCTAAGCGAAAATTCTCTCTTTATAAGAAGTACAATCGATTTTTGATGTGTTGCTGACCTACCCCGAAGCAGGGAATTGAGATCGTAAAGCGAGTTTTTCATGGGCGACACAACGAAAGGCTATTATCGTTCTTACGTTGGATAAACGCGTGCATTTTATCATCAACTTTGTATCGTTAAGTTACATGTATACCACCCCATTTTACGGTCGTTCTGGTCTCTAGAGTCAACCCCACGAATGTCTCTCCCAGTATTTCGCATTCCTATTGGAATGTGTATGTGCGGGAAGGGATAGTCGCTTTTCAGAGTCAGCAGGTCGTTTCAAGTGCCTCGAGCGTAAACTATTCTTCACTTGAACCCCATAAAATCGGCTTACCACGATACGCGCGCTCGTGCCAGAAACTTTAGATACCAGAATTTTAAAAAAATATATATATTTTCTATATAAGAAAAACCTCTTCAAAAAATGGTAACTTCTTTTTCCATTCTGAATTTTTACCTTTCTATGTTCCATAATAATGATTTCGATAAAAAATTGTTTATCAGCTTAAATTCGGAGAGATAGAGACTCACCGCAAAAGGTGAATTCCTTTTGGGGGAATTTAATGGTTGGTTGATTCGAATTGCAATTCGTTGGGTCCAGCAACCAATAGCGAAGCCTCTTACACTGAAATCGTATAGAACCGGACGACGCAAGGTAACAAACAAGACAAGTACAATTAGAAATGAAGGAGACCGGAAGACACGGATTTAATTGTTAATTAGTAATTTCGCATCGAAACGCAATTAAGTTCAGAGGGACTAGATATATTCTCATCATGGTAATAATACTCGCAAGATTTCAAGTCTCTCCTTGCTATATCTCTCTCTCTCTCTTGCCATCAGACATTTGTTAATCAATTTTAGAAGAAAGGTTTATTTTTACAGAAAATCATATTTTTTGTTTTCGATAAAAAGATAAATTGGCATAAAGAAAAAAATTATTATTCTAATAAATACTTATTATTTTATTTTGCTTTCTCTTTCTATTTTTGAAGAATAGTGAAAGATAGATAGAAGAGGCTCTTTGGACAATTTTAGTAAAAGTATATATGTTCTAGCTTCGTTGCTGAAGAGCTGTTTGAAATTGCCCGACTAATGATGCACTTAGCCTACTTCTCGTTTGTACACAGTTGGGTTTCTGAATCGCAATGTTTGAACAAACAAGAAAGGGTAAATGTAAATCTCCCGAGAACAAGGGTCCGTAAATTTTCATTTATTTCGTTTAGAAAAATACGAAATTTTTTTTTGTTATTTTTCCACCAATTTTAGTAATTTTTTATTTTATAGGTAAAATAATTTTTTCCTTACATTTTAAAATATCGTAAATTATTTTCAAGTATATTCAAAATTATCTAAAGTATCCTGAATTATCTAAAATAATTATAAATTTTTTTTTGGTGTTTTTTTTTTAGAAACCGTTTTGATAAGAAAAATTAAGTTCAGGAAAAAAAAACCATGAGAATGACTGGAAAAGTCAACGTCGAATCTGAGACATAAGGAACGTAATTTGACCTAACCAGACTGCCTTCCAAGGTATATTTTCCGAAAATCGCAATTCAGTCGATAGTGACTTAAAAAGGCACACATTTCCCCACACCTTTTGGAAATTAGATTACAACTGAGAAACGTCGGATTGGAACCAAACAATGGCGTTCGTCAGATTCTAACTTTTTTTTATATATATATATATAACAAAATCGGGGAACAGTAAAGAGTCAAGATGTCGATTGTGATAAAACCAAAACGAGGCCAGATTGTGGGCGGGGGCCTTTGAACACTCACCATTTTCAAGCATACACGAAAGGGAGTTTCGAGCCCTCCGATCCAACATTAATTATCAGACATCTTATCAGAGTCGCGGAAGTGTGAGCCGCCCCCGCACGAGTCTTACGTGCGATCTAATCGCATAGTCAAAGAGAGAGAGAGAGAGAGAGAAAAAAACTCTCTCCTCCCAGAGCGTGATCGATTCAACGTCAGTTTACTTCCCCCGGAAACTCGTCACACAAAAAAAAGAATTCTCTCCATTCTCAAGTCACAGAGAAAAAAAAAGAGAGAGAGAGAGACTTTATCGAGTGCCAACTTTGGATTATTAGCAAACTTTTATTTTAGGACTGGAAAATTAACATTTTTCTTTAAGTTCGACCGACTTTTTTTTTACCACACCATTTCTCATTAAGGACTTTTCAAGAAAGTTTCTTTTTTTTTCGTTTTCAAGAAAAGAAATTGAGTATAGAAGAAGTAAATCAACTATCTGAAAATGGTCCCTGAACGAAAACAATATAAGTAAACTTTTTCAAATGAGAATATAAAAAAAGAATTTCATTCTTATTCCAACAAGAAAATAATAACCTCATTAATTTAGAAAAAGAAAAATAAGAGAGAATTTTACTTTTTAATAAACAAGGAAAAAGACTGATGAAAATGTTATTAATTGCTTTAATTTGAGGAAATAATGGTTTGTATAATGAGAGTGCAAAATAAAGAGACGCTTAATAAACTACTGTTTAATTATTTCTTTTTTTTCAGGAGAAAAATCAGCTATGGTTTTACAATTTCAAAAATAAAAATATATTTTTTTACTGAAACAATAATTTTTCTTTTATCAACAAATAGAAAGGGGAAAAAAGTTGAATTCTATTTTGTGTTTAAATTGTTTCTCCCTCAACAATCATTGCAAATTCCACCTCATGTCTTTTATCAAGGCTTCAGAACGCTAATTTACGTAAATTTAAGTTGGACCACTCTACTCTAATTAAGCTAAATTTATTTCAGTTTAATGTAAGTACAATTCGTGTGCCTTAAATTAACCTTTATTTACTTCCACCTATCGCAGTATTCATTGGGGTCGTGACTCGTATATAAGAAAATAAAAAAAAAAAGTCTGGAAATTACTATTTTTCTTATATAAAAAAAATTAAAAATCTCTAAAAAGAGAAAAAAAATTTTTCATATCTTTTTTTTGAAATCTCACAGTTCAATTACTTTTTTCCAATATTCCTTCACAATTCACTTCATTTTCTTAGGTTTGATTTTCAAATCACGAAAATTATGATAAGTCGAGAGTAAAGGAAACGCAATAAGTTTTGAAGATATATAGAGAATAGGAAATGAGAGAATAAAAGTAGAAAAAAAATAATATGAGTGTGAGAGACGGATACAATTAGGTTCGCACCCTTGGGCACTGTTATATATTCCTGAGACAAAAGAAAAAAAAAGAATTGATTCGTTCAGTAAACTACGAAAATTAATACTTTTTTTATAACCGATTAAAGAATTATAAAAATTCCAAAAAAAATTACAAATATTAATAAAATAGTTTGTTTTTTTTTATTAAAAAGAAAAAAAAATTTAATAAAATTTATCGCTTTTCTTTAATAAAAAAAAATTTTTTTTTTATGTATTTAAACTATACCTACACTCTCATTTCCCAGAAATTGCACACTGCCTATATAACCCTATCAATAATTTAATATCGTGAACGTTATGTTCCTGTCTCTGTGTACACGCGCCTAAGATCGATCAAAGTCTGTCAACATTTTTCATGTAAACGTCACTGGGATCACGTTCAACTAACCGAACTTATAAATGTATTACAAAATTTTAAATGAAAAACCTGTATGCCAATTTCCGTCGTCTATCACATATAAAAAAAAAAAAAAACTAAAACTGTCTGACTATAAGGGATAAAAACAAACTTCTAATTAAATTCCCAAACAATTTTAGTTATTGGAATTTTTTTGAAAATTTAATTTAAACCAATTTTTGTTTTATTATTAAATATAAAAGAAGAAAAATTATATTTTGTCAAAATTCAATATTTTAATAATAATTGAATAATAAGGACCACAGAAAAATGTCAGATTTATATAAATAAAAGGGAGATAATCAAAAAGTAACATTGACTTACTTTGTCAGACTGACTGCAGAACGCCACCTCTAAATATGCAACAGCTGCGTTATTCCAGACACTGAATCCAATAACATCTGCTTTCTGAAAAGAAAAATCAAATTCTGATTTAATAAAAACGATTTTACTACCATGCCACAAGTTTACATTTTATAGATATTTTATCAATAAAAAAAACGATTTTTTTTTTATTAACGTATAGAAATATGTAATTGTATGTGTGTCATTTCTATATAGTAGAAAAAATAAATTAAAAAAAAATTATTTTGAATAATAAAAATCAGAGAAAATCTCATTCTCTAAAAACGAGATTTTTAATAAAAAAGTTTGTAAAATCTGACAGATTTAATGTGAAAATAGTTTTGTTTTAATCGGAGTGGGAGGAAAGTAAAATAAAACATCGTTAAGTAGAGTAAACCAAGTATGGTCAGACAGTGGTAAAAGTTTGAAACAAGGGGGGAAGTGACGAGTGAAAACGTTAGTTTTTAGTCAGACGCACAAAAAAGGAAATGAAAAACTGTCTGTCAGTGGAAAAACCGGGATACGGTCAGACACTTTGCAATAAAATCCAGTTAGTTGTATATACGTTCCTTTATACGAGAATTAATAACTTTTAAATAATAATAATAGCAGCAACAATAATAACAACAAAAATATTAATAATAATAATGATTATAAATTTACGTAAATTTGTAATTTTGTCAGTAGTAAAAATAAATTTTTGGTCAGACATATTTTTTCTATTTTAGAAATAAATGTTTGGTCAGCCATAATTTTTTTTTATTTGGTCAGTAGTAAAATAAATTTTTGGTCAGGCATATTTTTTTTATTTTGTCAGTAGTAGAAAGAAATGTTTGGTCAGCCATAATATTTTTTTTTTCAGTAGTAGAAATAAATATTTGGTCGAAAATAATATTTTTTTATTGTTCCAGTAGTGGAAATAAATGTTTGGTCAGGCATAATTTTTTTTTAATTTTGTCAGTAGAAGAAATAAATAATTTTTTTTATTCTGTCAGTAGTAGAAATAAATTTTCCGTCAGGCATTAAATTTGTTTTTAATTTTTTTCAGTAGTAGAAATAGAAGTTTAGTCAGACAGTAAAATTTTGATTATTATTTCAGTAGTAGAAATAAATGTTTGGTCAGACATAATGTTTTTTATTTTTCCAGTAGTAGAAATAAATATTTAGTTAGTCTTTTTAAAATTTTTTCTTTGCAATACTGCTAATTAATTTTAAAATGAAATTTTCCACACTTTTTTTTAGTTTAATATTTCCACCGAAATAATTTTTTTTTAAATTATCACTAAATATTTAAATTTCCCTATTTCAAAAAGTAATAATTTCTCCGCCTAGGGATTTACGTATATATATATAAAATGAACAAAAGCTCTTTGGATTGAAAGATTACAAATTGCATTTATGTACGCGAGTTGATTCGTCGATTCTATAGTTAGAGACTATCAGAGCGTGAATGAGTTTTTGCAGTTTGAAGCGACGGATCGTGCCATGGACCAGAAGGGTTCGATGCCTAACAAGGGATAACCTCGTTAGGACCACGGACCAGCTTGTGTGTTTTACAAGTTAGAAATTAGGTTGATTAGTAGAAAGCTAGAACGACCCTAAACTGTTCATATCTCTCTCTCTCTCTCTCTCTCTCTCTCTCTCTCTCTCTCTCTCTCTCTCTCTCTCTCTCTCAGACTCTGTATACATAGAGAGACAAAAGCCAAGCTTCCGTCGGCATTTTTTGTCACCCATAACTGATATATATATATATATAGCTTACTGGTTTGCGACGAAAGAGAGGGAGAAAAAAAGCTCACTCCCGCACATCCGTCTTAACATCCTGACTCACGTAGAGCACGTTTCAAGGTTGGCTGAGCAAAGGGGTGCGAGTCCCTTTACCGACAGGAAATTACACGTCCTTCCGAGTCATAAGTTCGAGGTCTCGTTACTTACTCGTCTCGCGCGTTTATTCGATTGTCTTTTGTTCCATTCCTCTCTCATCCTTAATTATCAACGTCCTCTCTCCCTCTCTCTCTAGTTCCTTTGCTCCAATTTCATCCCTTGCCCCCTGGTCCAGAATTCAACCCTTATAATTCAAATTAAGGGAATATTCTATTTCTTACTTCAATTAAGCCTCAAAACTAACTTCCAAGTACCACTTTTGATCCCTTCAAATATTATATCAAAAATCAGATTGAAGCACTTTAGTAAGATTGTTTTCTCATTTTTATTTTTATTAAAAGAATAAAAATTAGAGATGGTTCAAGAGGGTTAAAATAAGTATTTAAAAACAATTTTGAAAGTAATTATGATATACATATTACATATATCTCTCTTATTATGCACATCTTTAGTAAACTTGGAAGTTGGAAGAGAAGCCGCAGTTTGGCTTCGTAGAGAAGAGAGAGAGAGAGGAAAACTGACAAGTTCCTGTTTCAATATTACTGGAGTTGAAACTCTGACAGGGTTGGAATGACACTTAGATTTCGTTAAGATTAATTATTAAGGGAAGAGAAGACCTCTTGGCATCTGAGGCTCAAACTAAGTTGTATGAGTGTGTGGATGTTGCTCTAGAACCACTACAGTCTTTAATATCTAACGATTCTCTCGTTAATATCAACTAATGTTGACATACAACGAATTCATTTCATATATACATATCAACGTATATTTGTATAAGTATTAGGAAATTCGTGTCATAGAAACACGACAAGATTTGCAAGGCATTGACGTCCACCTTTTGACCTGACCCACCGACCTAACCTTAGTTCTCTCTTTCTCTTTCTCTCTCTCTCTCTCTCTACACTGTGTGAGTCGATGTCGAAACCCTCTTAATTAAGCCGTCGAACTTGAGCGTGCTAATTGCAACTACGTTAGCAATGTAAAAGGGAGAAACGGAAAATCAAGACGATTACACCTAGGACAAATTGTATCTTGTTTGTTTATATAGTTCACAAAACTCTATGTATATGTTTATATAGTCTCTTATATACCAAACAAATAATAGTTTACATTGTTAAAACAATGATTCCTAAAAAAAATTTTTTTTAAAAAATAATTCTTAGAAGAGAGTTTTTTTTTATTTTTATTCTCAATAAAAGAAAACCAAACAAAATGCTATTTAATTTTTAAAAATTATGTAAATAACCTTTCAATATTTAGGAAAAAGTAAATATTTCTAGTCAAATTACTAATTTTTAGTAATTTTTTTTTATTACTAATTTTTAAAGTAGTAAAAACTGATTTCAGTCAGACAAAATTTCTAAAGTTGACAGCAAAATAGTTAAAGTAATTTTTAGGACAGAATTTTGTAATTTTATCAGTATAGTATAAGTAAATTATTTGTCAGACTAATTTTTAATTGTATCAGTAGTAAAAGTAAATATATCGTCAGATTGAAATTTATTTGTAATTATATCAGTAGTATAAGTAAACATTTAGTAAGCCATTTGTAATTTTTTCTAATTTTACCAGTAATACAAGTAAATGTTTGGTCAGACTTTACAAATATATTTTTTTCATTTTCTCAGTAGTATAAATAAATCTTCTGTCAGACTTTTGTAATTTAATAGATCAATAGTACAAGTAAATTGCTTATAGTCAGATTTTACAAACCTATTTTTAACATTATCAGTAGGACAAGTAAATGTTTGGTCAGACATTATTAATTTCCTATAATTTTATTAGTAGTTCAAGTAAACGTCTGGTCATAATTTTCTAATTCTTATAAATTATATCAGTAGTACAACTAAACATTTCGTCAGTCTTCCTAATTTTGTTGTTGCAATTTTTCAAGTAGTACAAGTAAATAAATGTTCAGACAGTCTTTTATAATTTTATCAGTGGTACGAGTAAATGCCCCCAAACGAAAAAGGAACCTTGAATACCCTTGACTTGACCTTCAAACGACTTTGAATGCCCTTGACTTGACCTTTAAACGACCTTGAATGACCTTCATTTGACCTTGAACGACCTTGACCTGACCTTCAAATGACCTTAAACGACCTTGACTTGAGCTTCAAACGACCTTGAATAACTTTGACTTGACCTTCAAACGACCTTGAATAACTTTGACTTGACCTTCAAATGACCTTGAATGACATTGACTTCAGATTGACTTGACTTGAATAAGTTTTGCAGTTTATCAGTAGTATACGTAAATGTTTAGTCAGACATTCGTAATTCTTATTTTGTCAATACAAGTAAGTAGTATCAAAAAAAATGTTTGCTGAGACAGCAGTAGTACCAGTAAATATTTGGTCAGACTACATCTAATTTTTAATATTTCACAAGTAGTACAAGTAAATGTTTAGTCAGACGTTTCTAATTTTTTTATCAGTGATGCTATTAAATGCTTAGTCAGACTATTTAAACTATTTTAATTCCTGAAAAACTATACTATAATATTTCAGTTAATTATTATAACTTGAATAATACAACTTATAAGGTGAATTTAAAAGTTGATGCAATTGAATTTCAACTATATAAATATAATAAATTATCAATATTGAATAAAATTAATTGTCTCTTTTAAGTAACTTTTATACCTATTCTCAAGAGAATTTCGCTTCTCTTGGAAAATCGCTTTATATATTAAACAAGTGTGATACTCGTTAATCGGTTTCAAAGAGTAAAGAAAGAAGATCGTCGTCATTTCGAAAACTCGTTAAATAACGAAACTATCCTTTATAAGTGTATCAAATATATTACCGATCAGTCTCTCTTCTTTATATATATATATAGAAAAAGTATATACCCTCGCAAGTAGTTTATAGCGAAATTCCTGTTTCGCGGTTGAAAGAGAAGTGAAGAGCGGCGGTTTTCCACTTTCTTTATCAAAGTTTCCTGATCGCGTTGTGTCGTCCCTCGTCGTTTTAGATCGAATCGAGAAATTTTTCGTCTCTGAAACTCGTTATCGGTTACACGATCACTTCTTTGACGAATTCTCCTCTATACTTGTTTTATCGAGAATTCAATATATATATATATATATACCTTTTAATCGTGTATACTCAAGTGGGTCCCTAGTTAGTAAAAGATCAAGCCAGAAAAGTAACTTTATATTTCAAAACGAATAACTT